GAACTTATCTGGATATACCCTACGCCAGGAGACTCTTGTTCTCTGTCCCTTGCTTTCTCCCAGAGTCCTCCTCTCTGTCTCTCTCGTCTCTCATCTCTGTCTTTCTCTCGTCTCTCTGTCTCTCTCCTCTCTCTCTGTTCTCTCTTCTCTCTCTCTCTTCCTCTTTCTTCCTGTCTCTCTGTCTCTCTTGCTCGGTTCTCTCTCTCTCTCTCGCTTCTCTCTCTCTCCTTCTCTCTCTTGGCTGAGCATACCTGGGCCGGGGGTAGAGTCACACAACACCCCTAGCCTACTGTACTGGGATTGCGCGCGCCTGCCATGCCTCCTGTAACCACGACAAACCTGGCTACTGGCTTATGTGCTCAAGGCCTGGGCGTCTAAACTAGCATGGTGGTCCAAAGGCAGCTACGCGTTAACATCCTTGCCCCTTCAGGGCGTCGAGTTACCCCAGGTCCCAGGTGGTTCCAGGCATGCAGTCAGTGAGCCAGGGACTGGAGTCAAAACCCTTAGAAATGGCTGGGTGCCAGTGGCGTGGCTCATACCTGTAATCCCAGCACTTTGGGAGGCCAAGGCAGGTGGATCACCTGAGGTCAGGAGTTCGAGACCAGCCTGGCCAACATGACGAAACTCCATCTCTACTAAAAATACAAAAATTAGCTGGGCGTGGTGGCAGGTGCTTGTAATCCCAGCTACTCAGGTGGCCGAGGCAGGAGAATTGCTTGAACCCAGGAGGTGGAGGTTGCAATGAGCCGAAATCATGCCATTGTACTCCAGCCTGGGCAACAAGAGCCAAACTCCATCTCAAAAACCAAACAAAAAAACTTAGAAACTGACCTGGTGTCCTATTCTACTGTGGCTGAACTAGTACTCAAAACAGGAGACACAGTCTTTCCCACCCTTCCCTCCCCTTTCCACAGGCAAAGGAGCCTCTCTCCCTGGTCACCGTCAGAACCACCGCCCCGCGGGGAGCACTGCGAGGCTGCTGTGATGTTCACTCCAGGCCCCAGGACCCTTCAGTCAGTTTCCAGTGAGTGTCACCAGACCTGGGACTCCCCCTTCGGGACAGTGGGCTCCCCTCTGGTCCAGGGCAGTTCCAGAAATGCCATCCAAGAACCAGGATCTGGAATCAGGGACCCCAAGATCCCACTTCTTCTCCACTGTGGCTGAGCTGGTAGCTGAGCTGCAAGGCAAAGTGTGCCTTACTTTTCCCTCTGCTTTTCTCAAGCAGGAGTCTCTCACTGTAGCCACCACAGCTGGGAATGTGCTGGGTCTCCCCTGAACACAGCATGTCTCAGAGTCTCACCCAAGGCCAATAGCAAGTAGTACCTGGCATCACTGCTGGTTATTCAGGGCCCAGCAGCTCTCGAGTCAGCAGGTGATAGATCCTGCCAGGACTAGGTCCTTCTCTTCAAAGTAGCTGGGTCGGCCGGGCATGGTGGCTCACGCCTGTAATCCCAGCACTTTGGAAGGCTGAGGCAGGTGGATCACTTGAGGTCAGGAGTTTGAGGCCAGCCTGGCCAACATGGTGAAACCCTATCTCTACTAAAAATACAAAAATTAGCCAGGCGTGGTGGTCAGCGTCTGTAATCTCAGCTACTCTGGAGGCTGAGGCAGAAGAATTGTTTGAACCCGGGAGGCGGAGGTTGCAGTGAGCTGAGATCCAGCCTGGGCGAGAGTGAAACTCTGGCTCAAACAGAACAGAACAAATCAAAACACACAAAGTAGCTGGTTTCCTTCTCACTCAGGGTGTGTCTAGAAATGTCATCCAGTAGCCAGGTCCTGAAGTCAGGGCCTCAGGACTTTGACCCATGCCCTATCCTACTCTGGCTGAGCTTGTATTTAAGATGCCAGACAGAGTCCTCTGTATCTCCCTTACCTCTCCCCAAGTGGAAGGAAAGGGTCTTTCTTGGAGCCATAAGCTATGCTACCTGGGGTTGGGAGGGGTGGCGTGATCACCCTCTTAGCCACTCTTGCTGGTGTATCAATAGGTCACATGCCCCCCAAGTCTACTGGCTCCAAGCTCAGCTCAACATTAGGACTTGCTTAGGCGTTGCAGTCCTTGTGGCCTAGACTGCCTTCAAGTTCATCTGGAGCCCCAGAGCACTTTAGCCTGTAGAGACAGGGCTTGCTGTAACACAATTTCTGATTGTTGGGATGGGAGATTCCCCTCCGGCTAGGGCTGGTCTAAATCCTGTCTTTGTGGGTGGGCATCTGCTGAGTTCGGGGCAGACTTGCTTTCCACTGTGACGAGACAGCGCTGAGTTCAACGCAAAGTCTCACAATCGCTGCACTCTCTCTCCCCCAAGCTCACAGACTCTGTGTGCCATGGAGCACAGGCAGAGGGTGGCATCAGCAGCTCGAGGCTGTTTTTCCTACCCTCTTCGGTGCCTCTTTCAGCTATATGAAGTTAAAACCAGGTACTGTGAGTGCTCACCTGAGGCCATGATTTTTGAAGGTTTTTTTTTTTTTTTTTTTTTTGGTAGATTTTTTTTTTTTTTTTTTGGTAGATTTTTGTTAAATTTGGTGTTCCTGCAGAGGGGATGATCAGCGGAAACTTCTATTTAGCCATCTTGCTTTGCTCCCTCTCTACCTCTCTAGACTTTCTCTAATTGCTTTTTTTTTTTTTTGAGATGGAGTCTCGCCCTGTCACCCAGGCTATGGTGCAGTGGCACGATCTCGGCTCACTGCCACCTCTGCCTCCCGGCCTTCAAGTGATTCTCTTGCTTCAGCCTCCCGAGTAGCTGGGATTACAGGCACGCACCACCACACCCAGTTTATTTTTTGTATTTTTAGTAGAGACAGGGTTTCACCATGATGGCCAAGCTGGTTTCGAACTCCTGACCTCAAGTGATCCACTTGCCTCGGCCTCCCAAAGTGCTGGGATTACAGGTGTGAGCCACCGTGTCCGGCCATTTTTAATTTTTTTAGTAAATAAAAGCTGCTTTACTTATTGATCTGCAAGTGATTGTTTTTCACTTAGCCATATTCCCTGGACATCAGAAAATTTGATATAACTTATCTATAGTGAAACACACGAGTCTTAAGTGTACAGCACTATGACTTTATTTTTTTTCCACAACATTTTAGTTTGAAGATTTTCAAGCTTAGAGAAAAGTTCACAGGATTATAGAGAGAAGGCCCCTGTTCCCATCACTTAGAATTTATAATTAATGTATTTTGCAGAATTGTCTTTGTTACACATCTGTCCAGCTCTCTACCTCTCTTATCATCCAGGAGCGTATCTTTTTTATTGAATCTCTTTCAGATAAGTTGCAGACATCCATTCTTCACCCCTAAACACTTAAGCATTTACGTCATCAGCCTGGTGGATTTACACACAGGTGTACACCACCACTCAGACCAAAGCATAGAACGTTTCCAGGCGGGGCTCAGTGGCTCACGCCTGTAATCCCAGCACGTTGGGAGGCCGAGGCAAGCAGATCACTTGAGGTCAAGAGTTTGAGACCAGCCTGGCCAACATGGTGAAACCCTGTGTCTACTAAAAATACAAAAATTAGCCAGGTGTGGTGGCGCACGCCTATAATCCCAGCTACTTGAGAGGCTGAGACCGGAGAATCACTTGAACCTGAGAGAAAGCGGTTGCAGCAAGCTGAGATTGCACCATTGCACTCCAGCCTGAGCAACAGAGCGAGACTGTCTCAGAAAAAAAAACAAACGACAACAACAACAAAAAAACATTTCCAGCTTCCCAGAAGGCCCTGTCTCACTGCCTCCCAGCCAGTGTCCCGCAAAAGGAATGAATACCCTGCGACCACAGTTTCGTTTTGTCTGTTCTTGAATGTCACATGCCAGGCATCATAGGACTTCTTTTGGGTTCAGTTTTTATCCCTCAATATCCTGTCTCTGCATGTCTTGAAAAGTCAGAGCATACAGATTTACTTTATTTTTCCCCAAAAGATTTTATTATGAAAATTCAGGCCAGGCGTGGTGGCTCATGCCTGTAATCCTAGCACTTTGGGAGGCCAAGGCGGGTAGATCAATAGAGGTCAGGAATCAAGACCAGCCTGGGCAACATGGCAAAACCCCACCTCTACCAAAAATACTAAAAATTAGTCTGGCATGGTGGTGTGCACCTGTGGTCCCAAGTAGTAGAGAGGCTGAGGTGGGAGGATCGATAGAGCCCTGGAGGTGGAGGTTGCAGTGAGCTGAGATTGTGCCACTGCACTCCAGTGTGGGTGACAGAGTGAGACCCCATCTCAAAAAAAAAAAAAAAAGAAAAGAAAAAAAGAAAATTCAGACACTCAAACATAAGACAAAGGGGAAAGAATTTTACAGTGAACACACATATACCTCCTACCCAGCTTCCACCACTAACATTTGTCTGTGTTTGCTTTATCCTGTTTCTTTTCTTTTCTTTTTTTTTTTTTTCTTTTGAGACAGAGTCTGACTCTGTTGCCCAGGCTGAAGTGCAGTGGCGTGATCTCGGCTCACTGCAACCTCCGCCTCCTGGGTTCAAGCAATTCTCCAGCCTCAGCTGGGATTACAGGCACCTGCCACCACGCCCAGCTAATTTTTCTATTTTTCAGTAGGGACAGGGTTGAACTCCTGACCTCAGGCGATCCGTCCACCTCGGCCTCCCAGAGTGCTGAGGCGCAGGTGTGAGCCACTGCGCCTGGCAGATTTATCCTGTTTCAATCCGTCTAGCCTACCCTGTGTCCCAGTGGTTCTCAGCTAAGGGCTCTTTTCCCTGCAGGAGACATTTGGCATTGTCTGCGGACATTTTTGTCTCACCTGCTGTGGGGGGTGGGGGTGGTGCTTCTGGCATGTAGTGGGGTAGAGGCCAATGATGTTGCTAAGCTTCCTGCCATGCACAAGACAGCCCCCCAACAAAAATTATCTGGCCCCAGGCAGGGCATGGTGGCTCATGCCTGTAATCCCAGGACTTTGAGAGGCCGGGGTGGGAGGATGACTTAAGCTCAGGAGTTCAAGACCAGCTTGAGAAACATAGCCAGTACAAACACATGAAAAACTTAGCCAGGCATGGCGGCATGCACCTGTCGTCCCAGCTACTCTGGAAGCTGAGGTGTGGGGATCGCCGGAGCCCAGCAGGTCCAGGATGCACTCCAGCCTAGGTGGCAAAGTGGGGAAAAAAAAAAAATCTGGCCCCAAATGTCACAGTGGCAAAGTTGAGAAACCTTGCTGTATTCATTCCCCAGCCCATCGCATTTTCTTGATTTCAGAATAACCTGCATGAGTTATTCTTCAGTGCATATACTTCCAGGAGGCCATTCTTTTTTTTTTTTTTTTTTTTTTTTTTGAGAGGGAGTCTTGCTCCGTCACCCAGGCTGGAGTGCAGTGGCGGCGAGGTGGCGCGATCTTGGCTCACTGCAAACCTCCACCTCTCAGATTCAACAACGATGTCTTCTGTCTCAGCCTCCCGAGTAGCTGGACCTACAGGCGCACCACCATGCTGGCTAAAGCCCATTCTTTTCTTTTTTTTTTGAGAACGGAGTTTCGCTCTCTTGTCTTTTCAA